TGTGTGTGTGTGTGTGTGTGTGTGTGTGTGTGTGTGTGTGTGTGTGTCCCTGACAAACTGTGTGGTCTCACTGCCCCGATACCATGCCTGCTCAGCATCACAACATTCTTCCCCCCTTCTCCATCCTCCATTCTCTTTTTGTGTGTGTGTTTCTTTATCCCTCCCTTCTTTGGTCTCTTGTAAAACCTCAACATCACTGTGCCTCCCTTTAGGCCTTGTACCTCTTTTTTAAAATACCTGTTTTTATTTTTCAGGTATGTGTGGGTGGGGGGTTGCCTGCCTGCTTGCCTGCCTCATCTGTTACTGGTTCCTATGGAGGCCAGAGGGGATTTCAGATCCTCTGGAGCTGGCATTACAGTCAGTAGATGTGAGATGTCTGACATGGGTGCTGGGAACCGAACTCGGGTCCCCTGGAAGACCAGCAAGATCTCTTAACCTTTGACTTAACCCCTTAACTCTCAACTCACCAGTCCCTGACCCTCTTAGGAAGGATAGAGATGAATGAGCCTTCTCCCTCCTTCTGAGGCTCCAGTCCTCTCCCCACTCCTGTGTACCATGATTTCTTCATTCACACCTGTCCTCTCAGCATCTGCTCTCTGGCTCCCTATGTCTTTCTCTGCCTTGTGCATCTGTCTTCCTTTTGGGACCTCACCAGCTTTTCCTGCCTTCTCTCTGCTTTTCCCATCTCTGGATTATTCTTACCTTTAAAGGTCTGTGCTGATATGAAAGAATGGGGAGCAGGGTACTAGTGACTGAAAAAAAGGAGAGAAGACACATTTAGAACCAGACATCATGAAAGCCAACATTCTCTCTGTGATAATTCAATGGCATGTTGAGAGTGAAGGCCAGAAATGGCAAAGTCAGCGGCTTTAAGTGACACATCCCAGACTGTACTGCAGGAGAGGACCTGGAGACAAATACGGGGTTCGCTGTAAAAACTACACACTGTTCTCTGGTTTCCATTCCATCCTGACAGGGGACCACAGCTAATAGCACCATACCTGAGCACCAATCAGCTCTGACTTTGCAGACTAGAGAGTCACCCTCAACCAAGACTTTGCAGCCACCTAGTTTATCTCTGTCTTTTCATTGACAGCAGCTCATCAACAAACCTAGATATGACAGAGTCAAAAGTCAAGGCCAACCAACTGGGCCTAAGACACAGGGCAGATCAGCCAAAGAAAGTGAGACTAGCATCCAGTTTAAGGCTTCACTTGGGACAAGGAGGCAAGGGCATTTTTGGCGCAAGTGGTCCTAGTCCCATCACTTGCATTTTTCCTTCCTGGGTTGAAGGAAAGTCGGCTTGATGCTCATCGTACTCACTGGCTTTCTACACCGTCCCGGGCAATTACCCCTCCTCTGGGCTTTGGTAAAACGAGGAACTCGTCTTAGTGGATATCAAATCAAGCTTCAATGAGTGGAGGTAAGAGTAACTAGAGGGGACACTTGGGTCATGCTTGTCTGGGGCGGAGGGAATAGGAGAATGGCTTCATGGCTCTTAAGTTTGTCCTAGAGAAAAATGTCCAAGAGCTTTACAAAAATTGAAAATGTGTAACTCTGAAATTGTAAGACTTTAATTAAGCCTCACAGCAAATGCTCCCACTCCCCCACTCCCACACCGGCCCTCACAACCAGTGGGAATTCACAGTTGTGTTGTTAGGAGGGAGCCAGTCTAGAGTCCCCTCTTTCCCACACCTCTGTGTCTGCTTCAGCCAGTCCACATATGGGACTTGGTGAGAGCTGGCACTTGGATTCCTGGGGCCCTTTTCCCCACCACCCAGCTCCAACCCAGGGCATAAACAGGAAGTGCTGGACACCCATGCAGCTCAGCAGAGGGTCACCAGAGAACCAGAGGAACCCAACGCCAGTCTCCTCCAGGCTGGCTGGCCCCAGCCATGTGATCTGCCTGCTGCTTACCCACCTTTTCTTTGGCAAGTTTCCTGAAGAGAGGCACCAGCATATAACTGGAGCACAGCTCTAGGACAGAAACTATAAACCCAAGTGCTATAGGTGCAAAACAGGCAATGTAAATGCCTGAACCCAGTCTATAAAAAAAAATAAGAATTGGGAATTATGTAAGGAAGCTCCCACTCTATTCAGAAGGAGTGCAAGAGCCAGGGATACCTACTAATTTACTTCTGAGTATAGAAACAAGGGGTGGATGAGGCCAGATCTAATTCGTGATCCCGAAGGTCCAGTTTTGTGTTCGTAAGTTCAACTGTTTAAAAACGTTAGCTGTTAATTAAAAAGTAAAAACTAGACAATCCGGAAAAAAAAAATGTCTGTAGGTTATATTCGGCCTGCAGGCTCATTAAATGGTCTCTGCCATGCGATCTTAGCATGAGGCATGATGCTTCTTTGTTGAAATTTTTTAAATAAAGTCAAGGTAGTTTCTGGAGTACTAGATGTCTCTGTGGTGGTTCACAAAACAGAAAGTTGAAACGAATCTAGGAAACCAGGCTATCACATGGTGCCAGCTAAAATGGGGTGGAGGTGGGGGTGGAGGCTGTAGGAGTGGCTCAGCCAGTCACATGCTGGCCATGCAGGTGCGATGGCCTGAGCTCAAGCTCCAGAACTTACATTAAAAAGCCAGGTGTAGGTCAGGGGTTAAGGGAACTTGACCCTTTTGCAGAGGAGGAAGGTTTGGTTCGTCCACATGGGACGGCTCACAACGCCCTGTAATGTTAACTCCAAGAAATAGGATGCCTTCTTCTGGATTCTTCGGGTACCCCCACGTGTGTGACACGCACACATACACTTCTTAAACCAAGATCCTAATCTTTATCCGTGTAAGACTTAGCAACTTCTGCAGTCCCGAGGGAAAATGGGAAGTGGGGAAAGCAGCAAAGGGACACAAGCCGAGGAGACGTGGATGCATCACAGATCCAGACCAGAATGGCAAGCACATTGCAGAGCCGCCCTGGACTGCCCCTGACACTTGTACCGGTGCCATCCAAACTACAAATGGGAGTTACTTCTCGGCACCCCCACTTGCCAACCCAAAGCCTCACGAGACTGTCGGTGTAAACGAATAATGGGTACATAATTGCCCTGCGCGCCCCTGATACGCTCAGTGGATCACGTGTCTGAAACCTCTCTAAACAGGAACGATCAGAATGCTGGAGCTCAACCCGTCCACCGTGACAGAGTTCACTTTACTGGGCTTCACCGCCAACCCCAGAACCAATCCTCTGCTCTTGGCTTTCTTTTTAGTCTTTTACCTGCTGATCCTCTTGAGCAACAGCCTCCTCATCACCTTCATCCACCAAGACTCCCGCCTTCACACGCCCATGTACTTCTTCATCGGCGTCCTGGCCACACTGGACGTGTGCTACGCCACCACCACGGTGCCCCAAATGCTGGCACATATTCTCAGCAGGAAGCGGGCCATCTCTTTTACAAGATGTGTTGTCCAAATGTACATCTTTCTCCTCTTCGGGGTCACCGAGTCCTGGCTTTTCTCCATCATGTCTGTGGACAGGTATGTGGCCATCTGCCACCCGCTGAGGTACAAGGTCATCATGAGCCGTGGGATGTGTCTCCTTATGGTGGGTATCTGCGCTGCCTATGGCGTGGTGGGAGGCCTGTGCTATACTTACTTTTCTATGCGACTGCCCTATTGTGGGCCTAATGAAATTGATCACTACTTCTACGAGGTCCCTGCCGTCCTGAACTTGGCCTGTGCAGACACGTCCCTCAGTGACCTGGTGGACTTCATCACAGGCTTCAATGTCATCGTGGTCCCTCTCTCCCTCATCGTCATCGTGTATGCCAACATCTTTACCACCATCATGAAGATCCGCTCAACCCAGGGGAGGATCAAGGCCTTCTCCACCGGCGCCTCCCACATCACTGTGGTCACTATGTTCGCCATCCCATGTATCATCACGTACACGGGTCCCAGCTCTGGCTCCTTATCAAACAGTGGCAAGAAAATGGCCCTCTTCTAGAACATTGCCACAGCCTTCCTCAACCCCGTCATCTATAGTTTAAGGAACAAGGACGTGAAAAGGGCCTTCCGCAAACTGGTGGGATGGAGTGGGGCTCCAGAGCGACACTTTAAAGCCACTTTATTCATGAAACTGTAAGTCGTACTTACAGTCACTGCCTTCCCAGGGACTCTTCCGTGAGATGTCATGCATGACTCCATAAAGACAGCTCTTCACGCTGGCCCAGGTCGGGGAGGAGCAGGAGCCTCAGATGTTGACTGATGCTGCCTGAGACAATCAGGAAGGAAAGAAAGGTTCAGGAGTCAAGAACCTAGACATTACTGCCAGGCAGACCAGGGCTGGAGAATTAGGGTTTGGGGTTGAATGTGAAACGTCCCCTGTAGGCTTGTGTACTTAAACACTTTGTCCCCAGCTGCTAACACTGTTTGGGAAGGTTATGGGACCTTTAGGAGAGGAAGCCTGGCTAGCGAAAGTCACTGCTTCCTGTTTTGTTTTTTTATAATATGGTCACACACACTGTCCCACCAAGATGTCAGGACGTGAGGAATCACAGATGCATACTCTTGTCTGCATGGAGCCACCTGCCACCATGCTTTCCCCACCATGGTGGACTGTGTCCCTTCAACCTGTAAGCCCAAATGAACTCTTCCTCCACTAGGTTGTCTCTCGTCAAATGTTTTGTCAGTAGCAAGAAAAGTGACTAATAAAGTCTTACCTGTCACTAAGTATGTGTATTTCTCAAGTCACTTAACTATTGTGAGTTTTCTAATTCTTCTTCACAGGCAAGTTGCAACGATGACATGAGGTAACATATGAAAATATCTACTGGCCCTATTTTAGTTTCTTTCAGCAAGCGTTGTTACTTTTAAAGCGCTTGTTTTTAAGTTCTTTTTTATTTTATTTGTATTGGGATGTTTTGCTTGTGTGTGTGTCTGTGAATCACATGCATGCAGTGCCCATGAAAGCCAGAAGAGGGCATCATTTTCCCCAAGAACTGGAGTCAAAACTGGTGATGGGGAGTCACCTTGTGGTTGCTGGGAATTGAACCCAGGTTCTCTTCAAGAGCCGCCAGTGCTCTTAACCACTGAGCCATCTCTCCAGCCCCTCACATTTAATTTTTTTATATTCATTGCTGAACAATGAATTATCATTATGAATCCACTGTGACCCTCGGGCTCTGAAAGTGACTGAAGAGAGTAGAGGTAAAAGCAAGGGAAATGCCAGAAGCAGAAACTCAAAGAGACTCTGCTGAGAAGCAGCCCCCTGGCCCACCTTAGAGCAACTCTGGGTGTTATCACAGAGTAAGGGCTGCGGCTAAGTGTCTCTCTCTGCTTTTGAATGATGTCTGCTTCTTGTTTTTCTCCTTGCTCCTTATTTAAATAAAGTCCAATTTGGAAAATTACAGCCTGGTCTTGATGCTGTCAAGAAAAAAGGACTCTGTCTACCCAACGGTCAGAGAAGTGGGGAAAGTAGGAACGGTGTTACTCTACATCTGGGGAAAGAAACGGGAGCCAATGCGGAGCATGAAATCAGTTATTTCCTGAAGGAGGGACCTTCCTTCCCACGCTCTCCTCATTCCACATAGAAGCTTTATGAGCACAAATCACTGCTGTGGGTTTCATTGTTTTTAAACTGTATTTCTAGGCACTATCGCACCGATCAGGTTTTGCCTTTATTTTATTGACTAAGTCATTTATTTACTTTACATCCCAATGGAAACCTCTTCTTCCTCTCCTCCAAGTCACTCCATCTCCCCTTCCCTCCCCCATTCACCCCTCCTCCCCTTTTCCTCAGAAAAGATGATACTTTCCAGGGATATTAACCTTGGCATATCAAGCTTCAGTAAGACTAGGCTGATCTTTTCCTGTTAAGGCTAGACAAAGCAGCCCAGTTAGGAAAAAGGGATCCAGAGGCAGGCAATGTAGTCAGAGCTAGCCCCTGCTCCCACTTCAGAAGTCCCAGCTGCACAACTGTTACATACATGCAGAGGGCCTAGGTCTGTCTCATGCATGCTTTCTGGTTGGCAGTTCAGTCTCTATAAGCCTCTGTGGGCCCGGGTTAGTGGATCCTCTAAGTTTTCTTGTGGTGCCCTTCACCCCCATTGCTCCTTCAATCCTACTCTCCCACAGGATTCCCAAACTCTATTTAATGTTTGGGTCTCCACTGTACCACAAGGACATTTGCCCAACTATGTTCATAGCATCTTTATTCACAACAGCCAGAATCTGGAAACAACCTGGATGTCCCTCAACTGAAGAATAGATAAAGAAAATGTGGTACATTTAAGCAATGGAGTAATACTAAGCCACTAAAAACAATCACATCATGAAATTTGCAAGCAAATGGATGGAACTAAAAAAAGATCATCTCTGTTAGTGAGGTAACCCAGACCCAGAAAGACAAATATGTTATGTACTCATTTATAAGTAAATATTAGTCGTAAAGTACAGAATAAGCATGGTACAACCACAGACCCAAAGAAGCTAAGTAACAAGGAGGACCCAATAAAGGACACTTGGATCTCACTGACAAAGGAACTAGATTACACGTGGGGGGTAGGGAATTGGAGAGGGAGGGGTGGAGATAAGAACAAGAGGGTTACGATGGGGGAGGACAAAGGGATAGAATACTGGGAGAGACAGCTGGGTTGGGCAGTACCTCTCTGGGACAAGCTAGAAACCTAGAACAATGGAAACTCCCAGGATTCTATGAGGGTGACCTTAGCTAAGACTCCTAGCAGGGGAGAATATGGAGCCCAAACCAGCCATCTCCTCTCACCAGGCAAGACTTCCAATGGGACACCAACCCAGCCACAAAACCTTAGACCCACAATTTGTCCTGCCCGTAAGATGTACAGGGGTAAAGGATGGAGCAGAATTTGAGGAAAGAGACACCCAATAATGACTGGCCCAACTTGAGACCTGTGCCATGAGAGCGAGCCCACCCCTGACACTATCAATGCCATTCTGCTATGCTTGTAGACGGGAGCCTATCATAACTGTCACCCGAGGGGCTTCACCCAGAAACTGATGGAAACTGATGCAGAGACCCATGGCTTTTGCCTTTTCTTGATGATATAGAAACTCTGCACCTATCAAAAAGGAGGCGCCCCCTCATGTAGGAGGCCTAGAGACATGTCTTAAGTTAATGTGGACCCTCAGTTTTTCCCCTTGGTAGGTCCTTGCTGCCTATCAAGCCCCTTGCAGAAGAATGAGGAAGACAGGAAGAAAGGAAGAGGAAGGAAAGAAGGAAGGAAGGATGGAAGGAATCAACTCTGGTGCTCTGAAACGTTTAACATGAAAATGGTGACGTGTGTCGCCCCTCCATGAGAATCCAGGATCCCTTTGGGGAGCATGAACCAGAGCTGGCCTGCTGCATAAATAACTAAGCAAAATTAGACATGAGTGACAAACACGACCCACAGTGGCAGCACAGTTACATTGCTTCATTGACAAAGAAAGGGCTTTTATAAATTAATAAGAAAAATACTGGCGAGAGAGATGGCTCGGCGTAAAAAGGCACCTGCCACTAAGCCTGACAACCTGAACTCTAGCCCCAGAACCCACGTAGAGGAAGAACCGACTCCCAACAAGTCTTCTGCCCCCTACACAGGTGGCGTGTGAAATACAATACACTTTTAGAAAATGAATGCTTCAGAATATTGGCAACAGATGTTATTTATTAATTGATATTTTTGAGGAAGGGTCTCATTCTTTTTTAAAATTTTGTTTTAATTTTTTTACGTGTATGTTTCTCCCTCATGTATGTCTGTGCATCGCTTTTGTGCTGGTGCCCTCAGTGGACAGAAGAGGGCATTGGATCTTCTGGAACTGGAGTTACAGATGGTTGTGAACCATCATGTGAGTACTGGGAACCAAACCCAGATTCTCTGCAAGAGCAGCCAGTGTTCTTCAGCACTGAGCCATCTCTCCAGCCCAGGTCCCTTTCCTTTGAATGCAATAAAACACAAGTTTCATGGAGTGCTGGTATAAATATAAATTGATCTTTTGTAAGATGATTGTCATCATGTGTCAGGAGCATTAAAGATGTCTGTCCATGACCTTCAGCCTTGTAATTCCGTGCTTAGGACACCTTAGGAAGCAGGAGTCAGAAAAACAGAAAAAGCAGCAGCAACATTTCCACAATGGGAATCACAACAGGAAAAACGTGGAAGGAGTTGAAAACACCTCTGTAAGCCAGGAGTAGTGGTGTATGCCTGTAAGTCCAGCACTCTGGTGGACAAAGGCAGGCAGATCTCTGTGAGTTCGAGGCCAGCCTGGAGTCTCAGCAAGTCCAGGACAGCAAAGGCTACACAGAGAAACCATGTTTCAAAAAGAAGGAAAAGGAAAGAGGAAGGAAGGAAGGAAGGAAGGAAGGAAGGAAGGAAGGAAGGAAGGAAGGAAGGAAGGAAGGAAGGAAGGAAGGAAAAAAGGAAGAAAGGAAGGAAACACCTCTGTAATATGGAGCCATGTGTTACAGACACGTATCAGTATCCTACGTGGCTGTCAAATGTCACTTTGTTGTTATTCTGTAATGAAAACACTCACAGGATGTTAAGTGAACAAAAAGCAAGAACCAGCTAATGAACAGGTTGGGATCCCACCATCAACAGCCATTAACACATTCTCAAGACTGAAATTAGAAATTACATAGTAAAACTTGCAACAGCTGGAGAGGACCACTAAGTCAGCCCTTTTCCATCAATCAGCATGTCCCTGTTTGCGGTGAAGATATGCAGGATGCTATTGATATGAGAGATGTGGGAATATATAAAGCTCTCACTTCCTGAGCAGTGTTTCAAACCTAAGACTGCTCTTCGTCTAGTAATTAACTGATTGAAAGGTCCATCTCAGCGCCATGAACATGAGAGAATTAAAGCCATCCCCATTTGCAGAGATGACTATGTGCATCCCTCGGGTCTAAACTCAGGTCCTCACATTCACACAGCAAGTACTTCATCCACCAAGGTATCAGGTTCTCAGTATGTAGCCCTGGCTGGA